TAACTTCAAGAACATCCTTACAATGTTATTTTTACTTGATGAAGGTTTTTATAACATGTGAAAAGTGTTCTTAGAACAACAAACTATGTGCATAAAACAATTTCAATTAAACTTTCTTGTGTGTTATTTGTCAAAGTAATTTTTTGTATAAAGCTTTTCACAATAGACATTGTTTCAAAGCAGTTTTAAGACAGTCATTATGACATTAAAAGTCCTTTATTTAGGAGGAGCGTAGCCTGGACCAATGACAGTGCAGTGCTGAAGTGCCAACTAGCCTCTCCCTACGGAAGATCCCTTTCCCACTCTACTGATAAAGCGTTGTGAATTTCGTTTCACGTACCTACCTCGAAATAATAGAATAAAACAAAACTCTGTATCAAATTTATAGACAAGACAAGTAGTTTGTTCAGGCATGGTTTTGTAGGGAATTACAAACCTGCGCACATATATTCAAACACACTTAACTATATAATCAATTCTTAATGTGCATGTGAACGCCATCAGTGTTTATCACAGGTTCAGATTAAAGTCTGTTTAGAGACATTCACATACATTTTTACCTGCCAGAGGAGAACTGCCCCGACTGAGCCTGGGTTCTCCCAAGGTTTTTTTCTCTCCATTGGGTCACAAGGTGGAGTTTTAGGACACCATTGGGTCACCTGATGGAGTTTTAGGACACATTTAGGTCACTTGATGGAGTTTTAGGACACCGTTGGGTCACCTGATGGAGTTTTAGGACACCTGTAGGTCACCTGATTGAGTTTTAGGACGCCATTGGGTCACCTGAAGGAGTTTTAGGACACCATTTGGGTCACTTGATGGAGTTTTAGGGTCACCTGATGAGTTCCATGGGTCACCTGATGGAGTTTTAGGGCACCATTGGGTCACTTGATGGAGTTATAGGGTCACCTGATGAGTTCCATTGGGTCACCTGATGGAGTTTTAGGACACCATTGGGTCACTTGATGGAGTTTTAGGACACCATTGGGTCACCTGAAGGAGTTTTAGGACACCATTGGGTCACTTGATGGAGTTTTAGGACACCATTGGGTCACCTGATGGAGTTTTAGGACACCTTTAGGTCACCTGATTGAGTTTTAGGACACCATTGGGTCACCTGAAGGAGTTTTAGGACACCATTGGGTCACTTGATGGAGTTTTAGGACACCATTGGGTCACTTAATGGAGTTTTAGGGTCACCTGATGAGTTCCATTGGGTCACCTGATGGAGTTTTAGGACACCATATCACCCTGCAGCCATATCACCCTGTAGCCCAAGACTGGTTGCCCATTAAAGCTAAGCAGGGCTGAGCCTGGTTAGTACCTGGATGGGAGACCTTCTGAGAAAGCCAGGTTGCTGCTGGTAGAGGTGTTAGTGTGGCCAGCAGGGGGTGCTCACCCTGTGGTCTGTGTGGGTCCTAATGCCCCAGCAAAGTGATGGGGACACTATGCTGTCAAAAAGAGCACCGTCCTTTGGATGAGACGTTAAACCGAGGTCCTGACTCTCTGTGGTCATAAAAAAATCCCAGGATGTCTTTCGTAAGAGCAGGGGTGTAACCCCGGCATCCTGGCCAAATTTGCCCAGTGGCCTCTGTCCATCATGGCCTCCTAATCATCCCCATATACACCAATTGGCTTCATCACTGTCTCCTCTCCACCAGTAAGCTGGTGTGTGGTGAGCGTTCTGGCGCACTATGGCTGCCGTCGCATCATCCAGGTGGATGCTGCACATTGGTGGTGGTTGAGGAGATCCCACCCTTCTATGTGAAGCGCTTTGAGTGTCCAGAAAAGCGCTATATAAATGTAACGAATTATTATTATTATTATTACCATTGGGTCACTTGATTGAGTTTTAGGGTCACCTGATGAGTTCCATTGGGTCACCTGATGGGAGTTTTAGGACACCATTGGGTCACTTGATGGAGTTTTAGGACACCATTGGGTCACCTGAAGGAGTTTTAGGACACCATTGGGTCACTTGATGGAGTTTTAGGGTCACCTGATGGGTTCCATTGGGTTACCTGATGGAGTTTTAGGACACCATTGGGTCACCTGATGGAGTTTTAGGACACCTTTAGGTCACTTGATGAAGTTTTAGGACACCATTGGGTCACCTGATGGAGTTTTAGGACACCTTTAGGTCACCTGATTGAGTTTTAGGACACCATTGGGTCACCCGAAGGAGTTTTAGGACACCATTGGGTCACTTGATGGAGTTTTAGGACACCATTGGGTCACTTGATGGAGTTTTAGGACACCATTGGGTCACTTGATGGAGTTTTAGGACACCATTGGGTCACTTAAAGGAGTTTTAGGACACCATTGGGTCACCTGATGGAGTTTTAGGACACCATAGGGTCACCTGATGGAGTTTTAGGACACCTTTAGGTCACTTGTTGGAGTTTTAGGACACCATTGGGTCACCTGATGGAGTTTTAGGACACCTTTAGGTCACTTGATGGAGTTTTAGGACACCTTTAGGTCACTTGTTGGAGTTTTAGGACACCATTAGGTCACCTGATGGAGTTTTAGGACACCTTTAGGTCACTTGATGGAGTTTTAGGACACCATTGGGTCACCTGATGGAGTTTTAGGACACCTTTAGGTCACTTGATGGAGTTTTAGGACACCATTGGGTCACCTGATGGAGTTTTAGGACACCTTTAGGTCACCTGATGGAGTTTTAGGACACCATTGGGTCACCTGATTGAGTTTTAGGACACCATTGGGTCACCTGATGGAGTTTTAGGACACCTTTAGGTCACTTGGTGGAGTTTTAGGACTCCATTTGGTCACTTGATGGAGTTTTAGGACACTTTTAGGCCACTTGGTGGAGTTTTAGGACACCACTGGGTCACCTGGTGGAGTTTTAGGACACCATTGGGTCACCTGATGGAGTTTTAGGACACCATTGGGTCACTTGATGGAGTTTTAGGACACTATTGGGTCACCTGATGGAGTTTTAGGACACCATTGGGTAACTTGATGGAGTTTTAGGACACAATTGGGTCACCTGATGGAGTTTTAGGACACCTTTAGGTCACTTGATGGAGTTTTAGGACACCATTGGGTCACTTGATGGAGTTTTAGGACACCACTGGGTCACTTGATGGAGTTTTAGGACACCATTGGGTCACCTGATGGAGTTTTAGGACACCATTGGGTCACCTGATGGTGTTTTAGGACACATTTAGGTCACTTGATGGAGTTTTAGGACACCATTGGGTCACCTGATGGAGTTTTAGGACACCATTGGGTCACTTGATGGAGTTTTAGGACACCATTGGGTCACTTGATGGAGTTTTAGGACACCATTAGGTCACCTGATGGAGTTTAAGGAATGACCCCTGCTTTGGGTGCACGGATAGAATGCTGCCCAGAAGAGGAGGACACCATCAGGTCGGTTATGGACTATAAAGTGCACTCAAAGAGAAAATAACAGAGCCTCATCTCCATTCATCACCATTAACGGATCTCCCTTCTGGGCCGAGTCTTCGGGTCTCTGAAATTAAAAAAAAAATGGTCAGATGGTCCAGTCTGTTGTGATTGATCTACTCTGCTCTGATTGGTCAGACGGCCCAGTGTGTTGTGATTGGTCTACTCTTTTCTGATTGGTCAGATGACCCAGTCTGTTGTGATTGGTCTACTCAGCTCTGATTGGTCACAATGGACCCAGCATTACTATGTATTACAGTAAGTGCCTCTAATCAAGTGAATCGAATATTTTACAATAAGGTTTCATTAGTTAACTAAATTAGTTCAATAAAATAAAACACTTTTACACATTTATTAATCTCAGTTAATGGTAATCTCGACACATACTAAAAGTGATTAAAATCAAAAGTTGTATCAGTTAACATTAGCTAATGAACATGAACTAACAACGAACAGTTAGTACTTAAGTACTGTAATGAATGTATTGCTAATTGTTAGTTAATATTAGTTAATGCATTAACTAACCTCAACTCTAGGAACCTTGGTGTAGTCTTACCAATATTTAAAAAAAAACATTAACTATAAATACACAATATACACTTATATGTAATAGCACCCTCTACCACAGAACAGCAAAAACATGAATTGCCGGAAAATTCTGTCAAAGAGTTGATCATGATTAGCAGGAGCTTGACCCCTGACCTTTCCCAAATGTGTGACATTAATCAGAACATGTATAACTAAACCACTGAATAAATCTAAAGTTAAAAAGAATAATATTGCAATATAAACCCTGCAGTATATAACGCTTTTCATTAGCTTGCAGTAACGACTGGCAAGACATGCTAATTATTCAAATATGCAGACTGGAAAATCTCCACAGTAATTACAGAAGTAATATAACAATAATTATTTGTGAAAGTGTGATCTTAATTACTGAACTCATCCTATAAAAATCTACAAGAATGCAGAATATGTGTGGATGACGCTCCTGTAGATTTGTCAGGTGTAACTCTTCTCCTGAAGTGATCGTTCAGAGACAGACCTCTGGTGTGTGTGTGTGTGTGTGTGAGAGTTGTTCCCATGTTAATTTGAAAACAAGATCCTTTGTCTTCAGAGGACACTGGTGGGACTGAGTTCCAGTTTTCCAGTCTTCCAAGTGGAATATCACATGAATATTAGAAATGGGAAATTAAACCAAGAATTGCATGTGTTTCTATGAAAGCACTTCAATTAGATGATTACTAGCAACAATGAAGCTAAGGTTTTACACATCCCTTACAAAGAAATACATGGAAATATGTACTTAAATGTAATGTTGGTAAAAGAGCTGGGGTACAGATGATAAATCAAAATATCGAAATCAAGAAGATAACAGAATGCCATACACAAAAATCATTTGTCATCTAAGATTCCTCGTCATACAAAAGAAAAAAAAAACCCTGCCATCCTCATCTAGTCTTAAAGCTGAAAATTAATTATTCATGATGGAGGATTGTTTTCGGTTTTCTGGAGTTGAAAAGACCAAGTAACTTGATCCCTATGTACGAAAATGAAAGTAAAAACAAGAAAACAGAGATGCCATTTTAATGCTTTCAACAACAAGAATCTACACGTCCGTATTGTGCGGTAGGTTTAGAAATTAATTTTACATGTTTAGTCATTTAAAAATGGACTGTCACTTTCAGCTTTCAAAGGGAATTTCAAGACTGATGTTTTGTATTATTATTATTATTATTATTAATTCAAACTTTACAAGGTAACCAACTGGAAACGTCAATGGATAGGGATAGGGTGTATTCACACTAGGAAATTCCGATAGTTCACTTGCTTTTGGACCAAATACAATGTTGATTTTTATTTGTTTGGTACGGTTCGCATTTACACTGCTCTTTTTTGCAGGTAAACCAACATTTGTGAACAGAACCACACCTGTGCTAAAGTCGTCCAGGAATTCTCAAGCGTGGGGAAAAGCAGGAAGTGCAAAAACAACATGTCTCAACATGCAGATATTTTGTAATGCAATATTTCTTCTTTTACTGATTTCATTCAGTGTAAAAGCAAACAGTATCAAACAAACAAAAATTAATATTGTATTTGGTCCGGACCAAAGCAAGTGAACTATCGGACTTTCTTGGTGTGAATACACCTTTTAAATTTCCTCAGATTGGTGAAATATACTTTTGTTTAAGTGTTAAAATTTATGGACAGAAAGCCATAATGTGCATTTCTTTATATAATGAAATTTCGTAGATGCTGTTCATTTTGTTACGTAAAAAGAATGACTGAACGTAACGAGAATGACTGGTTTTTCAAGTTTGTCTTCTTAGCATTGTCTTTGAGGGCAGGGTCTTCAAGCTTGATTTGACTTTAGAAACTAGTAGACTAATCGTAAATATAAGTATTTTGGCCTAAGACACGAAACGAGCGGTTTGTGTGAGAAACCGAACAGTATTTATATCGATTTACCTCTTGTAAACACAGCCACGTCCAAGTGATATTAATACTGTTAGTTTTCTCACACAAACCGCTCGTTTCGTGTCTTAGGCCATCAATGTGTACTTACATTTACGAGTCATTAAATCATGTTTAATCTGGACTTCTCTCTGCATGCTCTTTGAGGTGGTGACCATAGACCTCCATTATATGACTGACAGACAAGAACGGTTTGACCTAAAAATATCAAAATTGAAAATACTGCAGAAACAAAGAAACCTACATCTTGGATGCCCTTGAGGTAAGATAAAACATACCAACAAACATCCCTTTAAAGCGACAATCAAAATAAAGTGAAAACACAATTTTTACTCAATATTTTATCAGTGTGGGCACAAACAACCCTTTCCTTGAAGGTCATACACTTCCAATATTTACTGCAAATCTGTTGTTTTTGTAAATTTTTCAATTTTGATTTTCCTCATTTTCTCCCGATTTCCTTGAGAAATGGAGAAATGTGTTATATCTCTTTTTGTCTCTGTGTTTCCATGATAAGGTGTGAAGTAAGTCTTTAAAAAGTTTGAGGAAGGAAGCTCACTACCCTTAAAATGAATCTAAGTGAGGATACAGAGGAGGAGAACCCTACATCTGATGCACAATTCTCAGATCAAACAGAAGGTTCTGGACCTGATGTGTATCAGATGCCAAGATCAGCTTCTCCGCATCTGAGCAGTGTGTCCATAAAGTCGGAGGAATCGTTTGAGTTTCATAGACCTCTTTTCAGTGAAGGATCTATGACCTCTGAACTCGGGTAACAAATGCATAATTTATGCACTCGGCAGATGTTTTTTATTGATAGTGATTTGCACTGCAGAACAGCAGATTGAATGACAAACATTGTTTACTTGTTTTGTTTTGTCATTATGAGCAGGAGGAAGAGAAAGAGGGACACATCTCCAGGACCTAGCTGGGTGTCTGTGAAGAGTGACGACTCTACGAAGTTCAATCTTTCTGGATTTAGTGATGACTCTGACCCTTTGTTAGTATCAAAATATTGACTCAAGCTAGATAGGCTTAAAATGTGATAAAATTACCTCAAACTTTCTTATTTTTGCACAGCCCAGGCACATTTCCAGAAAAAAAAAAATGCAATAAATGCAATTTTGTAAAATGCAATGAAAGCACAAGTCGTATTTTATAATTCTTTTAAACCTTTATTTATCTGACTTAAAAACTGACTTAAATATTAACCAATTTCTAATTTGATGCCTGGAATTCACAGAAAAAAGTTGAGTGAGGCAAACTAATGGTGAAGATTTTATAGAATACCAACATTTCTCAATGCAAGATTGCAAAAAATGATAATTTGAAATCTGTTCAGTGAAAAAAATGGACATATTTTATATGTACTTCCGTCAGTTAAAATTAAAGTTGATTTCAATTGTTAAAGACAATTAAAAAATCACAGCATTTTACAAAAAAATCCCATTGTTTCTGTAAACTGAGTTACACTGTAAAACTTTTACGGTAAAAAAACGGCAACTGTGGTTGCCACAACTATACCGTTAAAAATACGGTAGGAACGTAAATGGTTTTACAGACTTAACTTAAAATTTACAGTAATAAATATATCATTTCATTTTCTGAAATCTGTTGATATAGCAACCTTTTGAAAAATTTCTTTCTGTTTTGTACCATTGTAATACAGTTGTTTTCCATTACAAGGTTAATATTTATATCATATAAAGAAGCTGCACAGTGTCATTCACACAAACATTAAACACCATCAAGGTAACACATGTGAAATTAAAAAAACGCATTAAACATTAATTGAACAACATTAAATGTAACATAAAACCCTAATGTACATAACTGGTAATTAATTTAATTTAATGGTATTTTATAGTAAAATTATATCACAGTTATTTACCGTATATAGTAAGGGAACTTTCTTTTAACCAATTAACAGTTTTGCACTGCAGCATTTTTTACAGTCTTTTACTGTTAAAATTACGATTATTTTTTACAGTGTAAACATATTTGAGAGATATTTTTCTCTTTTGAATTTTCTGATCCAGACATACATGTATTGCTTTTGTTATATAAACCTTTAGTATTGTTTCCAACAGTTTTTTTTTTCCCCTTCTCAGTACTGGGGAGATAAATGAACCAATTCCCTCAGTGAAATACCGTCTGACTCACAACAAGAAGCAAAACACAGAATCAGCCAAACAAAAGCTCAAACAGATAGTGGAGCCTGAATACCTTCATCAGGATTCTCACCAACCAGTAGATGCTATTTTTCAGAAAGTGAAAGACCTACACAAAATGTTCATGAAGAACAAGTATGAGAGCTTATTTGAGGGAATCAGACTAGAGGAAAATAAAACCCTCCTGAACAGCATCTACACACAGCTGTACATCATCGAGGGAGAGAATGAAGGAGTGAATGAAGAACATGAGGTGCTACAGATGGAGAAAAACAAAACACAACCCTCACAAGACACTCCGATCTACTGCAATGACATCTTTAAAGCCTCACCTGAACCAGGATGTGAGGAGAAAGACAAAATCAAGACTGTCCTTACTATAGGCATCGCTGGGATTGGAAAAACCGTCTCTGTGCAGAAGTTCATTCTGGACTGGGCCGAGGGAAGAGCCAATCAGGATGTAGATTTCATGTTTGTGCTTCCATTTCGTGAAATGAATTTGATTAAAGATCATCAGTACAGTCTTCACACACTTCTGCTGGACTTTCATCCTGAACTTCATAATCTGGACTCAAAGATTTATGGGGAGGGTAAATTGGTGTTCATCTTTGATGGTCTGGATGAAAACAGGATTCCACAGATCTTTTCAAACACTCATAAAGTTTCTGATGTGACTGAGTCTTCATCAGTGGATGTGTTGATGTCAAACCTCCTGAAAGGAGATCTGCTTCCCTCTGCTCACATCTGGATCACCACCAGACCAGCAGCAGCCAATCAGGTCCCCTCCAAATACATCAACCGTGTGACAGAAATTCAGGGATTCAATGACCCTCAGAAGGAGGAATATTTCAGGAAGAGAATCAGTGATGAGCATCAAGCCAGCAGAATCATCTCTCACATCAGAAAAACAAGAAGCCTCCACATCATGTGCCACATACCCGTCTTCTGCTGGATCTCATCCACTGTGCTTCAAAAGCTCCTGGAAGATCTGAGTACAGAAATCCCTCAAACTCTGACTGAAATGTACATCAACTTTCTGATCATTCAGATCAACATGAGGAATCAGAAGTCTGAAGAGAGAGATCCAGAGAAGCTCCTGCAGTCCAACAGAGAAGTGATTTTGAAACTTGCTGAACTGGCTTTCAAACAGCTGATTAAACACAATGTGATGTTCTATGAGGAGGACCTGATTGAGAGCGGCATAGACGTCACTGACGCCTCGGTGTATTCTGGGATTTGCACTGAGATCTTTAAGGAGGAATCTGTGATTCATCAGAGGAAAGTTTACTGTTTCATACATCTGAGCTTTCAGGAGTTTCTGGCTGCTTTGTTTGTGTTTTACTTTTATATAATAAAAAATGATAACACATTACATTATTTGGATCAAGTTCATAATCTGCATAGGCACACAGTAGATGACGCGCTTCAGTATGAAAATGGACACCTGGATCTTTTCCTGCGATTCCTGCTGGGCATCTCACTGGAGTCTAATCAGAGACTCTTACTGCAACTACTATCACATACAGAGAAAAGTTCAGAGAGCATCAGGAAAACCTCACAGTACATTAAAGACATCATCAAGGCTGAGAAAAATCTCTCCACAGAAAGATCTATCAATCTGTTTCTCTGTCTGCTGGAGATGAAAGATCGGACTCTGTACACAGAGATTCAGGAGTTTATGAAATCAGACACACACTCGGAGAAGAAACTCACTCCTGCTCAATGTTCAGCAATCACCTGCATGCTTCAGATGTCAGATGAGGTGCTGGATGAGCTGGATCTGAAGAAATACAACACATCAGAGGATGGTAGAAGAAGACTGATACCAGCAGTGAGCAACTTCAGAAAAGTTCGGTAAGTAATTATTTTAGATCTTATGTAATTACATTTAAATTGTGCTCTTAATATAACAGATTTTGGAGAGTGATACATACTGTTACAACTTTTTTCCAAATAAAAATGCTAAATATTTATTAACATAAGTATTCACCCTCTTCAATTAAAAGCCTATCAAATAAAAAATGTAAAAAAACACTTTATTCAGTTACATTTGCATGCAAACATACAAACATGTGTTATCATTTTTTATTATATAAAAGTTGTGTACGAATCACAAAACCATATCCTATCTACTATCCTATTAAATCCCGTACAAAAATATCAATCAAACATATTCGGTGTCATCTTCTAGTAACCCAAATTGATCCATGTTTACATATTAAAGGGTTAGTTCACCCAAAAATGAAAATGAAGTCATTAATTACTCACCCCCATGCTGTACCAACCCCGTAAGACCTTTGTTCGTCTTCGGAACACAAATGAAGATATTTTTGATTCAATTTGAGAGCTGGATCACTGCTACATACATAGGCTCCTAAGGGATAGAAACTTGACGGCCCAGAAAGTCATTGAAGAAAATGTTTAAATATTCCATGTGCCTACAGCGGCTCAACTATAAGTTTATCAAGCGACGAGAATACTTCTTGTGCGAAAAATAACGACTTTATTCGACAATTCCTTTTCTTCCTTGTAGGCCTGCGACGAGAGTTCAAGAGATTTCCACAACGCATGTGCGAGAACTGAACTGAAGTAGTTGAAGGAGATCACAATTCTCGCGCATGCGTCGTGGAAATCTCTGATTGGCCACAGATCAGAAAACGTTTTTGATTGGTGCCGCGATTTCGACGGATTGGAAATGGGCTTGAATGAGCTCTTTGCCAGACTAACTTTCAGAGCAAATCTAAATTTGCCGGAAGTTGTCTGGGTTTTTTACCAGGCTAAGGGTACATGTAAGTTCTCTGAGAAATGGCAAGTGATGAAGAACCTTTTGGAAAATTTGGGTTATGGATAAGGCACAATGAGCTATGTCTTTGACAATCTTTATGCTTTTTAATGAATACATCAAGAAAACACCCCAAAGTGATTAATAGCAAGCAAGTCAAGCTGGACTAGGTGAACGTTTACTATTTAGGAAGATTTGAAACTATAGAGTGAAACTGTGTGGTTCCTTGTTGTATTGTAGGAATGCCTTGAAATTCTGTTTTTTTTCTCTTTCAGTCTTGCTGGCTGTAATCTCATAGGTCACAGCTATGAAATTGTGGTCTCAGCTCTACTGTCTTTAAACTCTCCTCTCAGAGAGCTTGACCTGAGTAACAATGACCTGGAAGACACAGGAGTGAAGATGCTTTCTGATGCACTGAAGAGTCCAAACTGTAATCTGGAGATACTGCGGTGTGTAAGAATAGAACTACAAAATTATAAATGTTCATTGTCTTTGATTTTGAACATAACTGTGATAGTTGAAAGATCTTGGATAATAAGTTCTCTTGAGGTGCAAGAATTTCTATACAGCATTTCTATAATAGCATTTCTTCAACATTTGAGATTAAATAGTTTGAAGTGGTTGACTGGTAAAAACATGATGACAGTGATACATTATTTAAAAGTAATTCTAAACAATTTAAGCTTTTTAAATTATGTTCAAAGTTGTTTAAACAGGCATATTCATAATCCATAGGCTTTAAACACAGTACATTTAAGGTGTTCAATCTTCAATTTAATTACTTTGTAGATTATCTGGCTGTATGGTAACAGATGTCGGCTGTTGCTATTTGGCTTCATCTCTGAGTGCAGCTTCACGCCTGAAAGAGCTGGATCTAAGCTACAATCACCCAGGGGATTCAGGAGTCAAGCTACTCTCCGAGAGACTCAATGATCCAAACTGTGCACTGGAAAAACTCAAGTATGTTGGATTTAAATTTGTCATGGTATTTATTATTAAAATGTTGCATATGCATATTTGTAAAATAATAAAAATAAAACATTACATGGAACATAAAACAACATGATAGCAATCACTAAATTACGTGGTCTAAATGTATGTATAAATACAGGTGTAGGACCTTAAAATATTCCTCAAGTCATTGCCTTTGGTCAAAATGCAACGATACAATGTCATACCTGCCTGTCAAAAGAAGTATTTCCATGCCTCCACACACACCACATACCATCAACGTGTTTCATGCCATGTAGATTTAGACAGATTTCAAAAAGTTCCTTTTACAGATCCTATTGAACCAAAACAATGAGCTTATGCTTATGTTCAAGCCATAACTACTGTAATTTGGAAACCCATGAAGATATAGTCTGAGCAGTTTGTAAGTTGAATTTATGTGTTTCAATGGCAACACTATCAATGCCGAAATGAATCCGACTGTAACCCTTGTTCCCTGAGAAGGGAACGAGAACTGCGTCAACTGACACTTTGGAGGAACGCCCCTCGGCGTAGCTCCTCTGAAGCATGAATGAAACTAAGCCAATCTCCGATTGGAGCAACGTGATGACGTAATGTGTGACGACACATAGGCGGGTGCTATATAGGGAGACACACATGAGATGTCAGCTTCTGTGATGAAGCAAGCACTCCCAGGCAGGGGAAGGCGTGGCCAAGGGTTCTCGTTCCCTTCTCAGGGAACAAGGGATACAGTTGTAACCCAAGGATGTTCCCTTTCGAGGGAAACTGCAAACTGCGTCAACTGACACTTTGGGGGAATGAGTACTCACTACGCCACAATGCGCCCTGCCTGCCCTAGTGTGAAGTTGCTCGCAGGCACACTTAGAACGCGAGAACAAGAGAGCCGGGTGTCCACAGAATGTCCAGACTATAAAACCTTATGGCTCATCAACCTGGTGGCCCATCCAGCTGCATTGTAGACCTCCTGGATGGGGGCCCCCGCGAAAAGGGCCCTAGAGGACGCCATGCCTATAGTGGAATGAGCCAAAGGTGAAGGCATAGCGCACCGACTCCAGCGGTTCAAAGGGGGCATCAGTCAGCCCCTCGAGAACTACTGCCAGGTTCCATGTGGGAACCCTGGTACGAGTTGCAGGTCTCATCCTCCAAGCCCCACGGAGGAAATGTACAACCAACTGGTGTCTCCCTTAGAGGCCCATCGCTCAGAGGAGTGTGGATAGCCGCAATGGCAGCCATGTACACCTTGAGTGTGGACGGGGTAAGACCAGTGGAGAAGCGATCTTGGAGGAACTCCAAGCACTGAAGCACTGAAGCCACTGGGCAGTTTACTGGGTCCACCTCACACTCCCTACACCAATTGGTGAAGATGTTCCACTTGAAGCCATAATATTTCCTCGTGGAGGGAGCTTTAGGGCTGAGTATGGTCTCCACTACTCCAGCTGATAAGCCGGCCTCTAGGTACTGTGCCCCCTCAGGGCCCAGACCCACAGTTTCCATAGCTCTGGCCGAGGGTGAAACATTGAGCCCTCCGCCTGTGTCAGTAGGTCCCTCCTGAGGAGAATCTCCCACGGAGGTCCATCTAGGACGATATAATGTCTGAGAACCATACTCGGGCCGGCCACAACGGGGCTACCAAAAATAGACTGATCCCGTCATGACGGACCCTCTCTAGAACTCCTGGGAGCAGAGTGATTGGGGGAAATGCATACAGACGTAGCCTTGGCCACGTCTGCACCATGGCATCCAGCCACAGTGGACAGTGGGTCGTCTCTCAAGATGCGAATAGGTCCACTTCCACTGAGCCGAACCTTCCACCACCTCGGGGTGAAGTCTCCATTCCCCGGGCCTCAGCCTTTGTCTCGAGTGGATGTCTGCTTCCTGATTCTGAAACCCCGGGATGTATGTTGCTCTTAGAGACAACAGTTTCCCCTGGGACCAGTGGAGGATCTGATGTGCCAGTCTGCATAGAGGGCGCAACCTCAAATGCCCCCCTGATGGTTTATATAGGCCACTACCAAAATGTTGTCTGACCTCACAGGGACGTGGTGACCTCTGATGTCCGGCAGGAAGCTCTTCAGAGCCCGGAACACCGCCAACATCTCCAGGCAGTTTATGTGCCAGGAGGAATGATGGTCCTGCCATAGGCCTGTCGTAAAGCGGCTGTCCATGACTGCGCCCCAGCCCGTGAGGGAGGCGTCTGTCGAAACGGTCTTCCGTCGACATGACTCTCCCAACACTGGACCTTGGGACAGAAACCAATCTTTCTTCACCATAGATAGGGAACGAAGGCATCAGCGTGTAACCCTGATCATGCTGAATGGGTTTCCCCTTTGGGGGAACCACCACTGAAGGGCCCCCAAGTGCAGTAGGCTGAGACCCAACAATCTCTGGAAATGCTTGACAGTGATGGCCTGGCCTAACTTTATACCGGCCACTGTGGCCAGAATGGACTGGGAGACAGTCGCATACCGAATCCCACACCATTCCAGGAACGTAGTTCTTTGTGCTGGTTACAACACGCTCTTCTTCGTGTTGAGTCTTAATCCCAGATTTTGGATGTGGCAAGAAGAACATTTCAATGCTGAACCGCCTGCTCTTGCGACTGAGCCAGAATCAGCCAGTCATCTATATAGTTGAGCACCCTGATGCCCCTTTTATTTGGAGCTTCAGAGGTGCTAGAGCTGCATCCATACATTTGGTAAATGTCGGGGGGAGAGAGCTAGGCCGACCGGAAGAATTGATCGGCCTGGCTTTGCCCCCAGAAGCGAACCTCAGGAACTTCCTGTGGGATGGAAGGATGGACATATGGAAGTATGCGTCCTTTAGATCTATTGTGACAAACCAATCCTTAGATTGAATCTGGTTCACGATCGTGGGAATAGTGAGCATCTTGAACCTGAATCTCCTCAAAGAGCGGTTCAGGTGCCTGAGATCTATTATCGGACGCAACCCCCATCCTTCTTGGAAACTATGAAGTAGCGGCTGTAAAACCCAGACCCTCTTTCAAGTGGAGGAATACGTTCTATAGCCTTCTTTGCCAGCAGGGAGTTTACTTTCTGTTCCAATGACCGACCCTGCACTGGGTCGACTACAGTCCAGACCACCCCGTTGAATCTTGGTGGGCAGAAACCGAACTGCAGCCTGTACCCATTTTGAATGGTGCGCAGGGTCCAAGGGGTAAATAATCATCAGATTTTTCCCTGAATCGAAATATTTTACCAAAGGAACCAGGCTCTTAAGCCTGGCTTCGGGTATTAATCGGGATTTGTTCATGGTGCTGAAGGCCATTCCCAGGCATGCAAAGGAGCTAATGTTAGACAGTTCTGGCTCCTTTGACAACAAGGACAAGCTTTTGCTAGATCCTCAATCTGCTTTTTGATTTCTGGCCACCAAATAACTACACACAAGGTTCTTCATTTTCACAGTGGCCAAATGTCCTTTGTGCAATGTGTCCAAAATCTTACTGTGCAGTTTGGTGGGAATGACAACTTGGGCTGATGGTCTGTGATCAGGGTAAATCGTTGACCATACAGATAATGATAGAATTTGTACAGACCCAACACAA